GTGTGTGTGTGTGTGTGTGTGTGTGTGTGTGTGTGTGTGTGTGTGTGCGTGTGTGTGTGTGTGTGTGTGTGTGTGTGTGTGTGTGTGTGTGTGTGTGTGTGTGTGTGTGTGTGTGTGTGTGTGTGTGTGTGTGTGTGTGTGTGTGTGTGTGTGTGTGTGTGTGTGTGTGTGTGTGTGTGTGTGCGCGCGCGCGCGCACAGGTGTATAGATCTACCTCAGTTTCTGTATCTCACGTGGCGTCTAAAATCGTTCATTTGTTTGTAGTTTTGTGATTAACTGCGTTTTTCTTTCTTTTCTGTCGGCTGTTTTCTACAAACTGAATTTACTTCCTGGACTGTGTGAGAGTTTTACATGTCTTCTGGGGACATAAATCTAGGTACATAGTCACATTGTAGGGACACGCCCAATGCAAGTCCCCACACCCTAAATCGTGACATGTTAGGGTGAAGCCTTGGTGCAAGGTTGGGGTAAATCTCCAGGAAATGAATGTAAGTCAACGTAATGTCCCCCAAAGTCATGAAAACACGTCTCCGTGTGTCTTGGCTGGTGTTTACCTGCTGAGGTAAGCTGTTTTTCTTTCTTTTTTTTTTAAGGTCGGGGGTTATCAAAGTCTGACACTGTGAGCCCCCTCAGACAAAATTGAGATAATAGAGCCCATCATCCGACCGTAGTACCCCATTTTTGTTTACATGTTGGCAGATTAGCAACATAAAAAGTAAGACAAATGATCTATTAGTACTTCCTGTTTGCGGTGTCGTAATCTTTTTACTTTGATGCTGAAGAAAAGTTCAAACGTGATGATTCTCAGGCAGGTTCTGTTGTTATATGAAGTTTTTTCTCTAATAATGAAGTTTGATTGCGATGGACATTGGAAGTAATGACGTCCCAGAGGAGTGTAAGTCACACTGAATCTAAAGGTGTGTGTGTGTGTGTGTCATGTCTGTGTGTTCAGATTGGACTCAGCTACTTCGTGTAAACTCTGCGTAGGAGTGTGAATTTTGAATGGAATTGGGGCAATGGGCCGGCGAAGGCTTTTGAAGGCAGCTTAATTGAGCTGTGAGTCACATCCTCTGCTGCTGCAGCTTGTGGCCGTGTCGGTAACGGGAACAAATCAGCAGCTGCAATAACTAACCTGCTGTGTGAAGGTCTCTCCCTCCTAATTCACCTAACTTCTGTCATTAATCAACGATTTATTGACAGAAAACATGCACATCCTGTATGTCTTTGCACAAAAACAAAGAATTCACAAGAAATTTGACAAAGATGTCAATGTTTTGTGGGGTTGTTCACTTTAGAAACACAAAGACTTTAAATGAAACCTGATCCCTTCTGTTCCAGGAATGGACCCGTCCATGGGCCAGGAGAGGAGAACCCCGGCCACCCCGTCCTCGTCCTCCCGGTACCACCGCCGGCGGTCTTCTGGCTCCAGAGACGAACGTTACCGATCGGGTAAGAGGGACGGTTTGTCCTTGACTTACACGTCTGTGGGACATTTTGTCTCTGTGGTGTTTGTCTGTCTTTCTATCGACTCTGTGTTAACATCGGGGACACGGAGTTCATATCATCAACGTTGTGTTGATCTCCGCCGTGCTGGCAAAATAATGAGTTAAATTAACTTTGTTAATCACCTCATGAGCTCAGTGGGTCATGTGTGATAACTAAGCAGGACATGGTTACATTCTCTAATTTAAATTCTTTCCAATAAAGCGAGGATGTGATTATAATATAGTACAAATAGTTATCTGCATAACTGAGAGTTCATATTAATATGTTTTATATGTAAAGAAGGGACGTAGAAGTACTGCCTGTGTATTAATTATCTTAAATCTTATTATCTCCACCAATGTTACACATCAGAGTTGGAGAAATTGTCTCCAATGGCTGTGGTCAGACACCTCCGGCAGGGAGGGTCACTATGGAGTTGCATCATGGGAAATGTAGGATCCAGTGTTTTTGGAGCCAAGCCGTTTTCTCATATGAACACCAGACAATGTCCGACAATTTACGCGTTGATTTCCTCTCCAGTTAGACGTTCGTGTTGGCGCCTTCGTTAATGCCTCTTCCTCTTCCTCCTCGGATGTTTGCATTCTTTCGTTTTCCCGACATTCGCCATTTGCCAACGCGTCCACTTGCTCGCTGTGTATTCTCCGTAACATGACCTCTGCTATTAGCAGATGGGCTCAATCCGACATTACAAAGACTTTAAGGAGCTGGCAAGTTTAACTCTGTGCAACTCTGCTTTTTCACATACAGCTCCTCTGGGTGATGATTAAAACAGTTGAAGGTTGCAGTGCATGTGTGGAAGAGGCTCTATATACTATAGGGACTAAAAGACAGAATATCTCGGCCACGGCGGCTTCAATTTTGTGTCCAATCCGTCCCTCATGGATCCTCAAATTTAAAGAAAGTAAAGTCCTAAATCCGTGGTGTGTGCTTTTAATTTATGCTCTCTGGTGAGGAGTGCCTTGTGTTGAACAGGACAGAAGAATGCTGTATTGTGTTGTGCAACTGGTTAATGTAGGTTTGTTGGCAAACAGCAGCTCTGCTCAACGGCAGTTGAGAAACAGAACCATGTGGAAGATGTTGAAAGAAAAGAAATGAAATGAAGTCAAACATTTCGTGCTCTTTCATGTAAATAGTTGAGGAAAAACAGAGTTGTTGTTGTTTCCAGGTGAAGTTATCCTCAATGTCCTGAGTATAGACTGATACTGATGTCGATATTTGTGATAAAGATACATCGGCTCATAGTCGTGCTTTTTAACATGAACAAACAATCTCGAGGAGGGCTGTACCCAAACCAGATTCCACAGTTCTGTTTTTGGATTTGATCTCAAACGTTGATGAGCTCCACACTTCACCCCCGATCCCCTCTGAGGACAGCCATCCTGATCTTCTCCAGTCTCTCTCTGCAGACTGGGCTGCAGCAGATCCAGTGTTTGGCACAGATTTGCAAAAACAAGAAAAGAAAAGCTTTTGACAAATCTGTGCAGCTCTAACAACACGCATTGTTTGGTTTTGTTCCATGTGGTGTCCTGTAAAGATTAATATTGGATTAACTGAGGGTTTAAAATTCTTTTCAGTGGCATCGCATTCGAAATGAATCTGTAAGAATATTTGCTGTGGTGACATTTGGGTGGTTTGTGATCCAGATAGTCCAATCAGGTGTAACCAGGTTTACTTATTGTTCGAGTCCCACATGCTGCCGGAGAGTTTGTTTGAGTTTGTTCTGACAGACAATAAATCCTGTGAAAACCTTTTAACGCACAAAAGCGAAAGAAAAGCTGCGTGAGCACCTTCACACGCCGGCCACACGTTTAAGTTAGCTCCTCATCCCGACATCAGTGCACACACAAGCCAGACTAACGTACATCTGAGCTCCATTCATCCTGACAAATGTCTTCCTTGTGTCGTTGTCGGGTCCCAAGCTGTGCCCTCTGATGTTGAAACTAACCCAGCTGTGGCTCCATCGCAGCGCTTTATCTTGCTCTTACAAACACTCATTTACAAAACGTCCTCTTCGCCCAAGGCTCCCTGAACTTAATCCAGTCGGAGACCTCGAGGCCTCGTGGGAGCCGCCGTCAAAGCTGTGAAACTGAATGTGGATAAACGGGAACACGGCTGGTAGTCCGGCTGCTGCTTTTCTACTTTATTCCTTTGATGGATTTCTCTGCACATTCGCTCAATGTTTACAAGGGACGCCACGTTAGTGAAAGATCTACTTCCTGCCTTAGCTTACTGGGTCAGCAAGGCTATGACTAGCTAACACTGATTTACTGAAGTAAAAGTAAAACAATGTGAAAGTGTTAGTAAAGGATATAGCGCAGTAAAAGTACATAAGTATTGTTAGCTTAATGTACTTAAAATTGATATATTATATGTGATAATACCAGTTGATTTTAACACATCTTACCGCACAGATATTAAGGTTAATCGATGGCTTTCTGGCGGGCGGAGAAAAACTTGTTAAAAAGCATAAAACACTGAAGTAATGTTTGTGTGTGTCCAGATGTGCACACAGAGGCCGTGCAGGCGGCGCTGGCCAAACACAAAGAGAGGAAGATGGCGGTGCCGATGCCTTCGAAGAGACGGTCGCTGGTGGTCCAGACCTCAATGGACGCCTACACACCGCCAGGTACGAACACGGTTTCATCTCTGCAACAAGCACGGACACAATGATTAGTCATGCTTCACCAAAAGATGACTTTTTGTATCGTATGACATGTTACACCTGATTCCCAACTACAGCTTCAGAATGAGACGAATGCTTCAGAAAGGATGTTAAAAGACTCAGTCAGGGTTAGGAAGAGATCGTTGAAATAACTTTGAATAAATAACTAAGTTCCGTTACTTAAGTACGCGAGTTACGTGACAAAATCAAGGTTGACTTCTCGTTTCCCACGGTGCATGAACGTCAATCTCCTGGTGAGAGAGCGTTTTTTGTTTGACCCATCCAGCTTAACTCTCTCTCGCCCTTCGTGGTTTTGTGCGGCCTTCACACTTCCTGGTTCATGTCTACGTGGATTACAATTGACTTTGTGGGATGTCTATGAATTACAGCGCATTACTTTTCCTATGTATAGCTATGAACGCTGTATTTCGCCATAAAGTAGAGGAAAAAATCAGTACGAATATGAAGCTGCTGAAAGCTGCTTCAGTGTGGATGTCCTGCTTGTGTCAGTGACGTTGGCAGATGATGTTTTCTCTGAGAGATCGATGGGCGCTCTGCTCCGTCAGTCAACTGGATTGAGCTCATCATCGCTTTTGACTGTCGATACTACGAGAAAAGAACAACTTCTTTACTACGCTGCTTCTGCATTTCAAGCAGATTATGGTTTTAAAGGTGATTTCTCAGCAACAAGTCATGGATGTCAGAGAAGTGACGTTTTAGTGACCAAAGTAAAGGCTCTGGTTACGTCTTCCACCACTGTTGGTTTCATCCCTGTAGCGTGCGAGGCGGGATCTGTCCGGGCCGCGTGGCGTTGGAAGTCATCCATGTCTTCACCGTGCTGGTGTCGTTTAACGAGGGCGTTGATGAGGCCGTTACCTCTCTGGCTGCAGGGTCGAGCTGCACCGAGCAGGCAGCCAGATATTAAATGTGTTATTGGATCACTCTGTGCAAACCCCTTCGTGATGTTTCACAAACTGTAGGACGTTCACAACACATTTAAGCGTGTACACACACGTTAATGCACAATGTGCACATGATTTCTAAGCTCTTTTTTTTTTTTTAATGTTGCCAATTTTACTGAAAGGGAGGAAAAAAAAAAACAAGCTGTGAGGAGTCACACATGAAACACGCACAATCCTTCCTCCAGATTTAGAAAGCACATCTCCTGAGGGAGCAGAAAGAGCAGTCACACACTCACACATCCACACACACACACATTCAAACACCCCCACACATCCACACACACACACACACACACACACACACACACACACACACACATATCCAAACACACACACACACATATCCAAACACACACGGCTGTCTGTCTGCCAGTGGGGTTCATTCGAGGACGGCAGAGTCGTATCGTGCAGAGATGTCAAGCGAAGGAGAACTCTGACGGGCTTTTAATTGGCTTTTGACTGCTGCATTTTTATCAATCTCTCAATAAATATATTTCAGTTTAATGAAGAGCTGCTTTGCATCAGGAACCGTCTGTCTGTCTGTCTCTCTGTCTGTCTTTCTGTCTGTCTCTCTGTCTGTCTGTCTCTCTGTCTGTCTCTCTGTCTGTCTCTCTGTCTGTCTCTCTGTCTGTCTCTCTGTCTGTCTGTCTCTCTGTCTGTCTCTCTGTCTGTCTCTCTGTCTGTCTCTCTGTCTGTCT